AGGATTTACGGACCTACTTCGAGCCCTGTATTTATTTATTTTACTACTTCTTCCGAAATTTTTCCTACTGGAAATTTTTTGTTTACTAAATTTTTATTTTATATTTATTTAAGACGAAATTTTTTAATTTTATTATTATTTTATTATATTATTTTTTGTGGATAGATATTTAATTCTCTAATTAGCTTATAAAATTAACTCTCGACATTCTTTTTAAATGAGTATAAAATGGAATATTTATTTAAAGGCTACTTTATTATCGTCGAATAAATTTAATTAGCGTTAAATATATAATTTCCGTTAAAATAATATATAAACAGCATTCCGGAAGAGTTGGTATATTATCATTGCAATTTGAAAACCAAAATTACGCACTCGAAGTGAATAATAAACGCGAGGGGGTATCTTCATTCGCTCGTTTGACAATAGAAGAGCAGAGAAATTCTGTCGTGAAGAAAATTGATTTTACAACAAAGCCTTGAATATGTGCGAACAGTAAATCTTTTGTCGGAAATGAATACAAGAAAGGAATGGAATAAATGTGTTGTATGCCTTGTTGCTATCAAAGTGTCTTTCGCTCCAAGGGATTTGCCACCGATGCATTTTAACGAGCGACAATAAACATTCAGTTTTGTATTTGACAATAAAAAATTCGCGAAAAAGAAAATATTATTTTTTTTTTTTTATTAATTATTGAAAAATATTTCTTTTTCTGCTTTTCCATCGTCAAACGAATGATAATAATAATTTTCTTAAGAAAAATTTAAGGCAAATTTCCTTTTGATTGAGGGAAAAATAATTTTTTTTATAAGAGCAGGGTTGCCTCAGGTCAGGAAAATCAGGGAATTCGGGGAAAAGTCAGGGATTTTTATTTAAGTAACTGGAAAAAATTGAATTTTGGAGAAGTTACAAATCATTGCAGAAATTCAATTATTTTCAAAAGTAATAAAATTCTTCGCAAAAATTCAATTATGTTCAATTTAAAAAAAAATTCTCGTCAAAATTCAATTATCTTTAAAAATAATAAAATTCTTCTCCAAATTTCAATTATTTTCAAAATTTTTTTCTCAATTCAATGATTTTTAATATCTACTGTTTTAATAAAATTTTTCAAAAGAATTCAATTATTTAAAAAAAATTGTTGATAAAATTCTAAGCAAACTTCGCAATAATTCAATTATTTTCATAAATAATAACATTTTTTACAAAAATTCAATTATTTTCATAAATAATAACATTTTTTTTTACAAAAATTCAATTATTTTTATAAATAATAAACTTCTTGACAAGAATTCAATTATTTTTATAAATAATAAAATTCTTCTCAGGAATTTAATTATTTTTAATTTAAATAAAATTTCTTGCAAGAATTCAATTATTTTCATAAATACTGAAACTAATCGCAAGATTTCAATTATTTTTAATACAATATTTTAAATAAATTCATCAAAAAATGCAATTATTCTTAAAAATTTTAGTAAAATTCTTTGAAAGAATTCAATTATTTGCAAAAATTTTAATAAAATTCTTCTCAAAATTTCAATTATTTTCAAAAAATGTTTCTCAATTAAATGATTTTCAATATCTACTGTTTTAATAAAATTTTTAAAAAGAATTCATTTACTTAAAAAAAATGTTGATAAAATTCTAAGCAAACTTCCCAATAATTCAATTATTTTCATAAATAATAACATTTTTTACAAAAATTCAATTATTTTCAGAAATAATAACATTTTTTTACAAAAATTTAATTATTTTCATAAATAATAACATTTTTTACAAAAATTCAATTATTTTCATAAATAATAACATTTTTTTACAAAAATTCAATTATTTTCATAAATAATAACATTTTTTACAAAAATTCAATTATTTTCATAAATAATAACATTTTTTTACAAAAATTCAATTATTTTCATAAATAATAACATTTTTTACAAAAATTCAATTATTTTCATAAATAATAACATTTTTTTACAAAAATTCAATTATTTTCATGAATAATGAAACTCATCACAGAATTTCAATTATTTTTAATACAATTTTAATAAAAATTTCTCGAAAATTGTAATTATTCTTGAAAATTTTATTAAAATTTTTCGAAAAAATTTAAATTTGTTAATAAAATTCTTTATAAGAATTCAATTTTAAGAAACATTCATTTATTCAATAAATTATTTATTTTTGTATTTAAATAATTGAATTCTCGTAGAATTTTCCAATAAAAACACAGGCACACAAAAAAAAAAAGTGTCGTGGCCGAGACACTACAGTAGTATATTCCCATGTATTTTTGGCCGCTGAATCCGAATCTGAAGTCCGAATGCTCAAATTGGTTCTTTTTTTTGAGTTATACTCAAAAAACGACTCAAAACACGAATTTGAACCAAAAAAATTAAAAAATTTTTTTGTGACATGACAATAGCATATTTCCATGTATTTTTTCCCGCTGAATCCGGATTCGAAGTCAGAATTGACAGATGTGCTCAAAATTATGAGCTAAACTCAAAAAACGACTCAAAAAACCGAATTAAAATGACGAAAATGACAAATTTTTTCTGTGACGCTGCAAAAGTATATTCCTATGTATTTTTTCACGCTGAATCCGAATTCGAAGTCAAAATAGACAGATTTGCTCAAAATTTTGAGATAAAATCAAAAAACCACTCAAAAAACCGAATTAAGATGAAAAAAATTTTTTATGACACTACACTACTATATTCCCATGTACTTTTTCCCGCTGAATCCGAATTCGCAGTCAGAATTGACAGATTTGCTCAAAATTTTGAGATAAGCTCAAAGAACTGATAAAAAAAGCGATTTAAAATAAAGAAATGGAAATTTTTTGCTATGACACTACATTGCAGTATTTCCATATCGGATCTCGCATTTAAAGTCAGAATTGACAGATTTCTGACTGATTTGCTTAAAATTTTGAGATATACTCAAAAAACTGATAAAAATGTAATTTAATATGAATAAAGGAAATTTTTTGCTATGACACTACACTAGTGTATTCCCATGTATTTTTTCACTGTGATTCCAAAGTCAGAATTTTCACAGTGGCTCAAAATTTTGGATTTCATTAAAAGTGCTCAAAAACATGCATGCTTGTACCTGTAACCAGGGTTTGAGTTCTAAAAAATTGTATGTCATTCTGATAATTCTAACTCCGAATTTGTATTCAGCGTATATAAAATTCATGGGAATACACTACCGAATACCAAAAAAATGAACTCTTTTGCATTAAATTAAATTTTGAGCATTTTTGGATTTAACTTAAAATTTTGAGCCAATTTAATAATTTTAACTTTGAATTTAGAAGCAGATGTAAAAACATGAGAATATACTAATGTAGTGTACTAGCAAGAAAAGTAGAGTTTCTTGACTTTAATTTTTGTAACTTAACAGATTTTCTTGTGTGTCTCAAAATTTTGAGCCATTAGAATAATTCTGACTTCAAATGCGAGATCCGAGTGTAAAAATATATGGAAATACTGTAATGTAGTGTCATAGCAAAAAATTTCCATTTCTTTATTTTAAATCCCTTTTTTTATCAGTTCTTTGAGCTTATCTCAAAATTTTGAGCAAATCTGTCAATTCTGACTGCGAATTCGGATTCAGCGGGAAAAAGTACATGGGAATATAGTAGTGTAGTGTCATAAAAAATTTTTTCATCTTAATTCGGTTTTTTGAGTCTTTTTTTGAGTTTATCTCAAAATTTTGAGCAAATCTGTCTATTTTGACTTCGAATTCGGATTCAGCGTGAAAAAATACATAGGAATATACTTTTGCAGCGTCACAGAAAAAATTTTTCATTTTCGTCATTTTAATTCGGTTTTTTGAGTCGTTTTTTGAGTTTAGCTCATAATTTTGAGCACATCTGTCAATTTTGACTTCGAATCCGGATTCAGCGGGAAAAAATATATGGAAATATGCTATTGTCATGTCACAAAAAAATTTTTTAATTTTTTTGGTTCAAATTCGTGTTTTGAGTCGTTTTTTGAGTATAACTCAAAAAAAAGAACCAATTTGAGCATTCGGACTTCAGATTCGGATTCAGCGGCCAAAAATACATGGGAATATACTACTGTAGTGTCTCGGCCACGAAACTTTTTTTTTTTTGTGTGCCTGTGAAATTGATTTAAAAATGAATATCAGTTAAAATTTTAGATAATAATTGAATATTAAAAGCATTATTGCATGAATTTTTAAAAATAATTGATAATTAAGGGAATTTTAACCATGATGACGTCACAGCTTTAGAACACATGCTTTGCACAAATTGTGACGTCATAATAGTTCAAATCCCCTTAAATTCTTTCGAAAAATTTTAATAAAATTTTTGAAAATAGTTACAATTTTTGAAGAATTTACTTAAAATTGTATGAAAAATAATTGAATTCATGTGAAAAATTTTATTACTTGTAAAAATAATTGAATTTCTGCAACGAATTTTATTAGAATTTTTGTAAATAATTTTATTTTTTTTGAAAAATTTCATGGAAATTAAAATTTTTATAAAACATGAAGATATGAATCACTCCGAGTTTTCGACTCGGAGTAATTGATATCTTCATGTATTATAATAATATTCTTCTAAGTTGTTGAATTTTAAAAATGTTTGAATTTGAATGTTTTGAAGAATTTTAATTCCTATGGAAAAATAATTATTGAATACTTATTTAAAAATTTAGTTATTGATGTTTGCGAAATTCGAATAATTTTACAATTTAAGAAATTCGTAAGTAAATGTAATAGAATGTTTTTTTGAGTATCTAATAATTTTTAGAGTGAATCAGAATATTCTTTATGGTCAGGGAAAAAGTCAAAATCAGTCAGGAAAGAGTGTGGAAATCAGGGAAGAGTCAGGGAAAAACAAAATTAATTTTTTATGGCAACCTTGAAGAGAAAAGATAGCTTTTTTTAGTTTAATTTTTAAAGAGGGTGAATAATTGGAAATATTGTAATTTTTCTTCTTGATTAAAATGTATACTGACCAACGCCAAGAAGAGCTACTTGGCAAAGATATTGTCGGGAAACCAGACACTGAGCAGATGGTCTGGCTGTAACGACTCCCCATGCAGCACAACCCAATGCGGCTGCCAAGCCCAAACAAGTTTGCAACAGAACCAAGGCACTAGCTTCCAATCCTTCTTGGTATCCTTGTAATGCCTGAAAAAGACAACCTAGTCAATATAATTTATTCATAGATAATCACTTCCGCCTATTTTACATAATCATTATCGAGAATATTTCACTTTGTTTGGAGCAATAAAATATATACCAATAAAATATCGAAAAAAATTTCTAAGAATTCAATTATTCAAGTAAAGAATAAAATTCTTCGCTGAAATTCAATTATTTTCATAAATAATTAAAATTTAAAAATTAAAAAGGTCAACAAAAGAATAGTATTGAATTTTGGAAGAATTGCAGTTGTAATTTTTAGAAATTGTTAAATTTCAAAAAGATTTTACACAGTGTTCATTTCAAATATTGTAAATGTAAATTCTTTGGATAAATAAATAAGTTTTTAAATATTTATTTAACAAAAATTATTCAAGTTTTTAATGTAATTTGATTTGAAAATTATGAAAAATATTCGTCTTTTAAAAAATTGTAATTGAAATGTTTTGATTTTTTGAAGATAGTTGAATTCTTGTACATTATTTTTAAAAGATTAAATTATATTTACAATTAATTAAAAATATTGTCAAATTTAATTGAAGTAAATTGAATATTTAAAAAAATTTTTTAAAAATATATTCGTATTTTTGTAGAATTTAAAATTAAAATTTAGAAAATTATAGAATTTTGTAAAAAAAAATTATTGAGTGCGAGGCCTGATATTCGTAAAAAAGAAAATAAATAATTTTTTCCAAAACATTTATCACATTTCATTTGCAAAATTATTCCGTAGAGTATTAATTGAGAGAGTAGAAAGTTTACAAAAAAAATCTCTCAACGTATTCACAAACAGATTCATTTACTTTTTCATTTAGTACAATTTAAAAAATAAGAAAATAAAATAAAATAAAAAAAACCGTTTTAAATAAATTCGAAGCAAGAGAAAAAAAAGTTTAAAAAATTTTTTTTGTCTAATACGAAATTATGTAAATGAATAAGTTTAAAAAATAAAATAATAAATAATAATAAATAATAATAAATAATATAAAATAAATTGAAACTTACAAAGAAAAAATATATATAACAAATAAATAATATTCTTGAATAAATAAATTTATTAATTCATAAATAAATTAAGTAATTCTATAAAATGGAGGGAAATTAGCAGAATGACCAATTTCTAAGCTAGGAATTAATAATATAAATAATCCTGGCATTTTACGATACAAATTCCCACGCATACAATTAAGAACGTGTTGCTTCTGAATCGCCAAAAGTTGTTCAAACAAGTTACAAACTTCTAATTACATACTACCAAATGATACTGAAATGAGTTTTTATAATTAAGTTGTAACTATAGGAAAAATTAAAAGAAAAAAAAAATTTTCCTAGAAAGTAATTGTGTTTCAGAAAAGAAGTAAATTTAGTAAAAAAATATTTAATTATAAAAGAAATTTAATTTTCACTCTAAATAAAGGAACTAAAAAAATAACTATAAATAAATAATATTTTTGTCGTTGCAGAAAAAATAGATAACTTGCGTTTTTGATTTATTTTTCAAACCTATTAATATAGTAAAAATACGTTTTTTTAAAAATAAATTTATATAGAAAAACGATAAAAGAGTGTTTTCTTTTTTTTTTCGAGGAAAATTCAGGGTGCAATGGAAAGTTCGAAAGAAATAGGGTTATTATTGAACTTGATGGTAAATTGCGTGCCTTTATCTTTAAGTAAAGTGCAGTCTAAGTTGGCTCGTTTTCATAAAAAAAAGACAACAAAAGACTTTGTTATTTATTTTATTGACTCGTTTCGTTTCAGTGTCCAATTTTTTATAGCTGCGCAATCATTTAGAAAAAGACGGAAACTTTAATCAGGAAAATGAGTCTAATTGAAATTCTATTTTAACTTTTAATTTTAATTGTATATTCACGAATGCACAATAAAAAAAAAGTTGTTTCATTTTGATTGAAAATGTTTTTCCACTTGTATTTTTTATTCATTCAACTTTAAAAAGAGAATTCTTCATTAATTTTATTTAAAATTTTATTTTTTATTTAAAAATTTTCCTCTACATAACATGTTTAAATTATTAAAAACAGTAATATTAATTATTAGTTTTTAATCAAAAAATAAAATACTACTAAAAACGTAAAATTCATAATTTATTTGTAATCAGGGTTGCCACGCTTTTGCTCATTTCAAATTCCCTCACTTTTCCAGGTTTTCCAGGTTAAAAAACGGAGCTTTTCCAGGCTCTTAAAACTACATTTTTTGACAACAAAAATTTAATTTTGTTTTTCCCTGACTTTCCCTTGAAGTTCAGACAAAATTCTTATTTCTCTTTGACTTAAAAAATATTCTCATTCAGTTTAAAAATTATTACTCAGAAAAATGTTCTATTGCTTCTTTTTTAAATAAATATTTAATCATTATTATTTTTTCATAAGAATTAAGATTTTCAAAAATTTCAAATTCAAACCTTTTTTGAATTAAACAATTTTAAAAAAATTATTATAAAACATGAAGATATCGATCACTCTGAGTCTTGGACTTCGGAACAATCGATATATTCATATTTTATAATAATTAAAAATGGCCCAATGATAAAATCATTATTTTATATTATGAGAATATTGTTACTGTAACTTATTCAAAATTACTTTCATCACTTCAATTCAATTATTGTTTTCCAGAATTTTTAACTAGAATTTTTCTTTAAATAAATTATTTTTAAAAAATTTCTTTGAAAATTTTCAAATCCTTTTGTTTACAATTCAATTTTACAAAATTTCATCAATTATTCGAAAATTTTTCAATTAAATATATTAGAAAATAAAAACTTCAAATAATTTCAGAAAAGTTAGATTAAACTTTTTTAAAAAAATTAAATCTACACAATTTTCAGTTATAATTATGAAAAATTCAAACTTTCAAAGATTATAATTTGAAACCTTTTAAAAATTCAATTATTTCTAAAAATTTACGCTATAATACTTTCTTTTTAAATTTTAATTAGTAAAAATGTTTACTAAGTGGCATTAGTGACTGACTTTTTGCTTTTAAATTAGTAAATTTTATTATTAAATTAGTAGAAACGACTATTTATTAGTAAAATCTGCTAATTCAAAAGCATAAAGTCAGCCACTAATTCAAATTTAGAAAGTTTAATATTCAATTATTATCCAAAATTTGAACTAAAATGCATATTTAAATCAATTTTTATTAGAAAATTCTACAAGAATTCAATTATTTAAATACAAAAATAAATAATTTATTAAATAATTGAATGTGTCTTAAAATTGAACTCTCATAAAGAATTTTATCAACAAATTTTTAAATAATTAAAATTCTTCCGACGAATTTTAAGAAAATTTTTAAGAATAGTTTCATTTTTGGAGAAATTAGATAAAAATTGTATTAAAAATTATTGAATTTCTGTAAAAAAAATTTGATTGAATTAAGAAAAGTTTTTGAAAATAATTGAAATTTTGCCAAGAATTTTATTAAATTTTTTGAAAATAATTGAGCTTCTGCGAAAATTATGTTATTTATGAAAATAATTGAATTCTTGACAAGAATTTTATTACAGCTTTTGAAAATAATTGAATTCTTGGAATAATTTTATTAAAATCTTTGAGAAGAATTGATTTATTTTGAAGAATTTTATTACGAACTTTTAAAAAAAAAATTAAAATATTTCAACAAATTTAATTAAAATTGTGATGACAATAATTTAAATCGTATAAAGAATTTTATCAAAGTTTTTGAAAAAAATTTGAATTCTCTCGAAAAATTTCATTAAAATTTTTAAAAAATATTTGAATCTTGTTGAGAAAGTTTATTAAAATTGTATTGAAAATAATTGATTTCTTGAAAAGAATTTTATTAAAATTTTTGAAAATAATTGAATTTTAAAGAAGAATTTTATTATTTATAAAGATAATTGAAATTTTGACGAGAATTTATTTAAACTTTTGACCATATTTGAATTTCTTTGATGAATTTTAATAAAATTTTTAAGAATAATTATACAATTTTCGAGAAATTTCATTAAAATTGTATTAAAAATAATTGAAATTCTGTGATGTGTTTTTATTATTTATGAAAGTAATTGATAAACTATATAGAGTTTTATTATTTATGAAAATAATTGAATTCCTGGTACAAAATGTTATTCTTTATGAAAATAATTGAATTATTGCGAAGAAATTTATAAAAAATTTGTAAATAATAGAATTCCTGTGAAATTTTTATTGTTTAATTCATTCATATAAAATTGAAATTTTCTAAAACTTCAAATTAAAACCTTTTGAAGTTTATCTATTTATGGAAATTGTATAAACGCAACTCTTTTAAAATTCAATTAATTTTGAAATATTTAAGTAATATAGATTTCAAAAATAAGGACAATAACTTTAGAAAACAATAATTTTCCAGAACTTTGATCAAAATTCCATCATGATTTTTCCAGGTTTTTTCAAGGTTTAGAAAGTTCCCTGACATTTCCAGGTTTTCCAGGTTTCTAGGTTGCGTGGCAATCCTGAAACTGTAAGCGTTTTTCTTTATAAGTCCGTTAATACTAAATAAATAAACAAATAAATTAATAGAAAATGTAAATAGAAAAAGAAAATTTGATTGAAAAAAAACCCAAAATGGGTGTTGAAAATAAAAAACGATTAATAAAAATCGTACAAGTGAGTGGAATTTTAATTGGGGAAAAAGGGAGAGAAAAGCGTCGAGGGGATAACTTTATTTGTTTTTTTCGGGGATTGTAGTAATATATATGAAATTTAGTGGAACTTAAAATTAGTTTTAGCATCAGGAGGAAGGGAAATACCTCTCGAGAGTTACAGTAAACAAGTCTTGTTTTCGTTTCCGACTTCCATGTTGGTTTCCGATTTCCGCAAAAACTGGGTGAGTGAATATAAAGTCATCGTAGATTGAAATTACGAGATAGAGAAATTAAAGAAAGGAGATACTTTTTTAAATGATTTGAGAGCAATTTCTAATTACTTTAAACTTATATTCCCCCTTTTTTCAATGCAATCAAATTTTTAAAAATTAAAAACTATTTTTAACCAAACAAAAAAAAATTAATTTGTTTTTTAAAGTTAAAAACAATAAAATACAATTGCAAATGAAAATAAAATACAATTAAAAATGAAATAAATTAAATAAAACGAAATTAAATTTAAAACAGGAATAAAATAAAATACGAGTCGAAATTTTATAAAAATTGAGCGATAAAGGAATTAAATGAAAATTTCCAATAAAATAAAATAAAATTAAAAAGGAAATACAATTAGAAAAAAAAAATAAATGGAAAAATGGTGATGGAAAAATAAGTACTCACGATATAAAAGGCAGGTGTATAAAGACCAAAAGCAGCTGAACCGGCTGCCAACATGAGCATTCTAACAGGACGACAACTCAATGGACGAAGATCGACCAAACGTTGCGGTGCTTTTGTTGCGGACTTTTTTTCGCGTAGTTTACTTTTCTGATTTTTAAGATGTACAATTGCTCGTCGTTGAGGATGATAAAGTGATGCACTTCTATAGATTAATCCCAAGAAAAATGTCACTGAAAGTGCTCCAGTTACGGACTGAAGTCCATGCCTCCAGCCTAATTTTCTAAAATAAAAAATAGAACATTATTTTCAATCAAATAATTTTTTTGCGAACAAAATTTCATCCATTTTCTAAATTCTAATACACTATACATGTACTACTTAAAAATATACTTAAAAAATTCCATTTACAAAATTAAATTGATTTTTCAACTTAAAATACCTCAAGACAAATATTTTTTAAATTAAAATTTTACTCCGTCCGACGAAATCGATTTGTGCTACTTAAAATTAAGTTTAAAACTAAAATATAAGATAAAAAATTAAAAAACTAATTTTTTACAATTTAAGGCAAGAAAAAATGGTTGAAAATAAATTGGCTCATTTTTCATTGACTTATACTACTTAAAATATTCTTTAGGAAGGAAAAAATCGTAAATTAAAAATAGACTTTTGCTCGAAAGTATTTTGCTGATTCGTTACTATTTAAAACCTGTAAAAAATAGTAATATAATTCCTACATTGAGTCGTACCACTTGAAATATCCATTTTCACAAAGTACACTGTTGGGATTTTTAATTTCGTAATTTTCACTCTTTTTAAATATGACACTCGCCAAATTCTGTATTTGAGAATTATTTTTCCTTATTTCTTTGTACTTTACAATTTCAATTAATTATTCTGATTGAACATTGATTTGTACTACTTAAAACTTTCTTCTATGTAAAATTACTGGACATAAAATAACTCTGTTCGATCGTTCATTGACTTTTACTACTTAAAATACCTCTCCGACAAAATTCTAGTTAAAAATTAATACATTGACTTTTACTACTGGTGCTAATTACAATTATTTTTACTACTTAATTCAGTAGGTTCAAAGCATATTTTTCGCAAATACCACACTGAAAAATAGAAGTAATTGTACTTGGCACAATAAAAAAAAACGTAAATTTTAATCTCTTAATTTGGTGAAAAGGCTATTTTAAGTAGTACAACTCAATGGCCAATCAGACAAAGTTTATTCTTAAGTGGAATTTCTCCTGAGAAGTATTTTAAGTAGGAGCCAATTGCAAATGAACCAGTGTGAATTTTAATTCGATTTCAATCAATGAACATGTAGTTTAAGTAGTGCAAATCAATTTATCATCAGGCAAAAAAGTATCTTGAAAATAAATAAATAAATAAATAAATTCTCCAAACAATTAAGTAGTAGAAATAATTATAAATATAGTTCATATGAATAGTAAAAGAGAATTTGTATCACTTAACTTGTTTGAATATGGTATTTTAAGTAGTAAAAGTCAATATATATTCCGACTAACATTATTTTTAACTACGATCCCCTTGAAGAGTATTTTAAGTAGTGCAAGTCAATGCTCAATCAACTAAAGCGAATTTTTATCCATTTGTAATATTTAAACGCGTATTTTAAGTAGTAAATATCAATTTATTATCAAACATCGTGGTTTTAGGTCTAAAATTTGTTTCAGACTCTTCAAAATAAGTAGAAATTGTTACAATTATTTAATATTTTTGTCGCGATCGGAAAAAGTGAATTTTAGTCGGCAACTTTTTAAAAATATTGTCTTTGAGTAGTACAAGTCAATGTCCAATCAGACAAAGTTTGTTTATAAGCAGCATCTCTCCCAAGAGGTATTTTAAGTAGTACAAGTCAATATTCCATCAGCCTAAGTGAATTTTAATTCAATTTCAGGGCATAAAGGTGTATTTTAAGTGTATAGTGAAAATAAATGTATCGATAGACAAAAGAGTATTTTAGATGAAAAAATTATTTTTCTAAACTAAAATTTCCACTCAAAAGTATTTTAAGTAGTAAAACTCAATATATGATTTTTTTCAACTAGAATTTCGTCTGCTGACAAGTATTTTAACTTTTTAAGTAGTAAAAGTCAATAAACGATCGAACAGAGTGAATTTAAATTCAGAAATTTCTCTCAAATTATTGCACGTTTGACTGAAATAATAATTTTCTGTTGCAACTTCTTCTTTGAAATTTCATCTTAAGTAGTTAAAGTCAAGGAACTTTCAAACCAATAAAAATTTTATAGTAGAATTTTTTCTGTGCGGTATTTTTAGTAGTAAAGATAAATATACAATCGGCCAAAGTTAATTTTGTCCAAAAAAGCATATTTTAAGTAGTGTAAATCAATATTCTGTCAGGCAAAGGAATTTTTACATTTTTTCCCTCCAAGGAGTATATCTCGAAATGTACTTTCACTGATAACATCAACAAACCAATCAAACAAATTTTAGATGAAAAAATTATTTTTCTAAACAAAAATTTCCTCTCAGAAGTATTTTGAGTAGTAAAAGTCAATGTATGATTTTTTCAATTAGATTTTTGTCTGCTGACAAGTATTTTAAGTAGTAAAAGTCAATGAACTTTCAAACCAATATATATTTTATACTACAATTTTGTCTGTGTGGAATTTTCAGTAGTAAAGATCAAGATACAATCAGCCAAAGTAAATTTTTGTCCAAAAAGCACATTTATAGTAGTGTAAATCAAGTAAACTTTAAAACAAAAATTTTTTTAAGGGAATATTTTTAAAGTAGTACAATATAATTTTTTTGGTCAGTCAAACTAAATTTTCAACATTCAACAACAATAACAAATATTGCACCAAATTTTTATAAATTCAATGAGTTTTAATTTTTATTTTCATTAATTTTTGTCTCGTATTTTAAGTAGTAAAAGTCAATAATCGATCGAATAGAGTGAATTTAAATTTTGTAATTTTACCCAAACTGTTATTTTAAGTAGTAAAAATTATTGCACGTTTGACTAAAATAATAATTTCCAGTTGCAATTTCCTGTTTGAAATTTCATTTTAAGTAGTTAAAGTCCATGAACTTCCAGACCAATAGAAATTTTACACTATAATTTTGTCTGTGCGGTATTTTCAGTAGTAAGGATCAATGTAAAATCTGACAAAGTTAATTTTTTTTCCAGAAAAGTACATTTTAAGTAGTGTAAATCAATATTCTATCAATCATACGGATGTTTTTATTTTTCCCCCCAAAGAGTATATTTTGAAATGTAGTTTCAATGTCAACATAAATAAAACAATCAAATAAATTTTTAAACAAGAATTATTTAAAAATAATATTTTCAAAGTAGTAAAAATCAGTGTTTGGTCAGACAAATTAAATTTTCCCCTTTCAACAACAATAACAAGTACGGCATATCCAATTCTAATAAAATCAGTGGGTGTTAATTTTTGTCTGGTAGTATAAGTAGTAAAAGTCAATTTATAGTCAGACAGAAAAAAACTTTAATTTAAATAGCCGATTGCTCCTCTATTATTTTTAACTTACTATAATCAAATAATTTTTATTGAAAATAAAGAAATTGTAGTTATTTGAATCAATTATTTCAATATTCCATCATTCAAAGTAAATTTGAATTCAATTTAAATGCAGGAACGTGTATTTTAAGTGTATTTTTGATGAAAAAATTATTTTTCGAAACTAAAATTTCCTCAGAAGTATTTTATGTAGTAAAAGTCAATTTATGATTTTTCAACTAGAATTTCGTTGGCTGACAAGTATTTTCTTAATTTTTTAAGTAGTAAAAGTCAATCAATGATCCAAAAGAGAGAATTTAAATGCAGTAATTTTACTCAAAGTTTTAAGTAGTAAAATTATTGGCCGTTTGAGTAAAATAATTTTTAGTTGCAATTTCTTATTTGAAATTTTATCTTGAGTAGTAAAGGTCAATGAACTTTCAGACCAATAGAATCTTGTCTTTTGGCCTGATTATATAAATTGATTTACACCACACTTAAAAAAACACATTTTTTTTGCTTTTGAAATTGAAAAAATAAAATTCACTGTGTCTGATCGGATATTGACTTGTACTACTTAAAATACTCCTCTCACAGGACATTGAACTTGAAAACTGTCGGAAAATTCTCAGGGGAGCAGTTTTTCCTTCAATTTCATTTGAAGCGTATATATTTCTCTCTCTTTCTCTTTTCCTTTAAATGTGTGTGTGTGTCTGAATTGTATGTTTGTTTTGGGCCAGGGAGCACAAGGTTGACGAATAAACTTGGCACTCGCTTAAAGTGTGGGCGCGACAGGGCTGTGAAACACATACAAACAAACACTCAACTCACACAGTGTCGATTATTTGCTAACGTTTGTTAGCCAACTTTCGAGAGAGTACCATCACGATTCACAAATTAAGTATATGCCAACCTGTGTCAACAAATTAGGTAAATAAATAAATAATCATGAAGAATTTTCTTTTTTTTTATAATAAGAATATCGTTTATAAATAAATATAAACAATTTAAGTAAATAAATTAATAAAAAAATAAATTCTTATTTTAAGCCCACTTAAAAATAATATTAAATATTAATAATAATAATAATAATAATAATAATAATAATAATAATAATAATAATAATAATAATAATAATAATAAATAATATTATTAATAATAAATTAATATTAATATTAATATTAATATTAATATTATTTATTATTATTAATATTATTAATAATTAATAATATTATTATTAATTATTTTCTGTATTTTTTTTTGTCTCAATTTGATATCCTTAGAAAAACAGTGTTAATCATTTACATTATAGGAATCATTTTTGTCTAAATCTAAACCTTGAGATTAAAAATCTTGAGAATAAATTTTAATTCCAAAAGTTGACTTCATCTATGGTTGTAAGGAAAAAATTTTTCTTCATAGTATTTTTTCTAATGTGATAATCTAAAATTGAGTAGCGTAATTTTTCAAATGGAAATTAATTACTGTACTTGAGGTTTATTACAAATCTGGTTGATAGAGTTTCTACTTTGTTCAATGTTTGTTCTAAATACCGCATTTACACAAAAGCAAAGACATTCGTTTGCTTCCAAACCCCGACGTTTAATTAAATCAAATTTCCCGTCTTTGTACTAAAATACAAATTTGCTTTCAACATTCCCTATATATACTTACGTATACAATGCATGCTACTATTCAAGAAAGTACTTTCAAGTGCAATGTAATTATCTCCTTAATTCTCGACAAATTTAAA